GGCCTGGGTATGTAAGGACAATTGAAACTAATGGAAAGCAGGTGTGACAATAGCATCATAGAAAACTGAAATACTCCCAAGAAGGAGGTGTGGTAAGTGCACACACCCAACAGACCACCAGTGAGATTACTGACTATTTAAATGAGGACTATAGTTGGAAGGGTTATTGCTTTCTGTATGGTTTACTGCTTTTATGCTTGCTAATCTGCCTTAAAAAAGTCCATACCTACTATGTACCTATTTAGCAGTGACAGTCCATGTTTTGGGCCTAAATTGCCCTGTCCTTCCTTTCTATCCTAATATCCATCTTCTAGGGGCTTCATAATGGTGTGTCTGAGTGTATACCAGAGCTCATACAAAATACACAATACAGCGCACTCGCTTATTCACTAAACAATGATTTAAAATCTCACAGATTGCAATAGTTTTCTTTGAAAACACCTTACCTAGGTGAAAAATAATGGGGGTTTAGTTACATTATATGATCAAATATTGCATAAGCCTGCTACAATGTCATTGTACCCCATTCTTGGTAGGTCCTACTCTAGCAGCCTAATGCCTGTCCTTATGAAATCAGTCCACTTACTTGGGAAATACTTCTTTACTGGGACTCTATGCAGGTCAAGGCTAAATAGGATCCTGGAATGAGGCACCTGTAACAGGGAGGGGTGCAAAACCAAGGAGTTGGCCTGGACTCCCGAATGTATAAATGAAACCAAGAAGTCTGCACTCACCTGAACATGCATTCATTATAGGGTGATGCTGGGGCCAATATGCAATAAGTGAGTGCACTGGGTTATGTATTTAGTATGTTGTGCATATTGGCCCCAGCAGCACCCTATGGTGTATGCATGTTCAGGTGAGTGCAGCCCTCTTGGTTTCATGTACACCAGAGCTCCACAGCAATAATACTTGCAGTAATGTGTCTTTAAATGACAATAAAATAAATCAGTCAGTGTAAATAAGATACGTTATTGTTGTTCTAAATTTTTTGTTGCATAAATTGTTATTAGTAAGTCATCTATAATTTTTCAAAACAGCCCGCACCTAGTCACATCTACAGTCAAACGCCTAAAAGTGTCTTTTTTTTTTTCTTTTTTTTTTAAAACAGGAATACATGCTTTGAACGTATACCAGGAGAATATTGCTCAAACTGATCTTTATAAGGAGAAATAAGGTATCTGAGGATCATTGGGAGCAACTAGCTTCCAAAAATAGCAAGAAGGCATCCTCATCTTTATAAGGAGAAATAAGGTATCTGAGGAGGGCAATTGGGAGCAACTAGCATCCAAAAATAGCAAGAAGGCATCCTCAAACTGTTCACCTTACATCTGTCTCAGGAGGGCAATTGAGTCATCAGTGTTTGCATAATATTACACTCTTATTGTGTGTTTTTTTTCTATTAGATTTTGAGCCGTGCTCCAAATTTGTTTGTTGGCATAGAATACAAACTGTAATGCATTTTTTTAAATTTCTTCTGTTTTATCTGCCTATAGTATTTGTATAATACTCAAATATTAAGTATTTGTTTATTATATCACTAGTCCATCCAACTCCAGATCAATGATGTTCTAAAATCAGAAATTCTAATTATTTTTGGTAGATAGGACAAATACCACATATTAAGCGCTTTACAAATATACCTCCAAAAACCTCTAAACTACTATCACCTATAATCTTTATTGGCCTCTGGATAAGAAAAGGATAGGGTAGGGAAAAAAACAAACATTTGATCGACAAACACTTTTTAAAGCAGCCTATAAAAATACAGTTTGTAACAAATTAAAAAACAAACGAACACAAACAAATGATAAAAAAACTATTAGTTTAACTAAACATGTGTATTCCTAAATGACTATATTTAACATATGTATTAAAATATTTAGAACTAAATAATGGATAATTTAAAGAAAAAAATATGGAAAAGGCAATTTTGAGTAAAAAGAAAGCAATTTTGAGGCAATTTTTTACCTTTTAGAATATTCACAGGGTTATTTACTAAAGTAAGAATTCCCTGAATAACTTTAATGATTGTCAGCTTGACAAAGGCCCTGTTGTGGGCCGAAACTTTGCTTTGGATCTGCTTTAACACATTTGCTCACTGGGTTTCACTTGAGTGCCTGGACCATCATTACTTTTCTGTTAATAACCTTAATAAACATAAATACATTGAAAAAAATAAATAAAATAAGGCCAAATGAGCAGGATTAAAAGCATAGCTAAGAATATTACAGTTCTGCTATTCTAACCTTAAAATGGAATTTCACTTTGAATTCACCTTGAATTCTCGACAATTCTCACTGTAGTAAATAACCATGTAAATGTTCTATCCGTAGTATATTCAATCTGCTTCTTAATTTCTGTATATGAGCCACTTCAATTCATTATTTTTGTCTAAGCACCCCGTCAATTGCCACTCTGCTCAAAATACCGCTTTGCACCAATTAGCATCTGCTCAGTGTCACATTAAGTCAATGCACCTCTATGAGGAGCGTCAGTGTCTCCATTAAGATGATGCAGATGTTGAATGTTGGTTCTGCAATCTTTGCAGGGACTCATCCAGGTACTCCATCTAGTGGTTGTCCAAGTGACAGCTACTAGAGGTGGTCAAAAGTAGCAATGTAAACAATGCTCAGCTAATATGTAATGCTTCTGGTGCCTATGTTGTCTCTTTAAATATGCTACTAACCCTGTAGCCACACTATCTTTCTTGGAGTGAGTAAGTAGAATTGGGCTTTCTTTTGAATTCTTCGGTTAATATGGAGTCACAGGATTATAAAATATACATTTTTGTATATTTTGTTTATCTGTTTTTCCATTGGCTACAGAAGCTATTTTTCTTTCTACCAAACTCCGGCCCTCCAGATGTTGCTGAACTAAAACTCCCATGATTCTATGAATGAAATAAATAGGCTTAGAATCATAGGAGTTGTAGTTCAGCAACATCTGGAGGGCCAGAGTTTGGGGAAGCCTGTACTAAACCTTTGCTCACACATCTGTCAGTCAGACAAGATCTGATGCCAGTAGCACCAGCATGCTGGCATCATTAGGGAGGTTTGCCATGTTCATGGAAATGTCACCAAGCAGGGCCAATTGTGACAGAGATAGGCCTGGAACAGATAGTTTTACAGAGTAATACTCACAGAACCTCAGGGAATGAAGGTGCAGGAGAGAAAGGAGGAAGATAAGTTATATTATAATATATAGTATAATACTAATTAAGCTAAAGTTGTTTTGGGGCCTATAGTGTCCCTTTAATGGCTTCTGCATATGGAGCTAACATCCACATTGATAAAGTACATATTGCCAAGCCAGATGGTAGATGCAGCCACAGAGTGCACTGCAATTGAGACTTTACAGAAAGCACAACTTTATTCTATGAGCATATATAATAAAATAAAGTGTACATTTTAAATCTTATTTGTTTATTTTACACTACTAATAAATAAATCATAATAATTACTATTTGTTTATTGTATGCTGCATCAGCATTTGGTCAGCCAGCTGACACTTCTGTTGTGGTATAGTAATTTTTACTGCATGTTTGTAGATGCAAACGTTTTCTTTAAATATTTTTTCCCCTGACCATTATTCATGGCAGCATTTACTCATGGGTTAGCTCCTCCCCTTACAGCAGAAAGAACAGGAAACAGAACTCTGAAACCGGTATAAATAGATCATCCCCCCTTCCCATCAGGCAGTCTTTTTTCCTGTCCTGCACAGCAGTTTGGAAGGAGTCTGCTTACGCAGGCCTAGATTTTCTTTTATGCTCACCAGGCAATATTTTTGTAGCCTTGCTGGGGTTTAGCCTCTAAGCCCTGAAGACCCAGCAAAGCACTATTTTAAGGTAGCCAGCCTGGGTACCCCCTTTAGTGAACATGGGTCGGACCCAACCTCTCCCTCTGGGGTTGAAAATGGTCCACTGCATGCCAGGGTTCAGACTCTTATCCCTGAAGACCCAGCAACAGGCCAGCTTGGGTACCCCCCCAGGGGATGAATGTGATATACTGCCTACATGAAGCCAGGCCAGAGTTCAGCCTCTTATCCCTGAAGACCCAGCAAACAGCACATCTGTAAGAGTCGCCAGCCTGGGTACCTACTTCAGCAATCAGGAGTCTAACCTATCTCTCTCTCAGAAGTAATGCCAGTGGTCCATTGCTTACATGAGGCCCAGCCGAGTCTAAGCCTTTATCCCTGAAGACCCAGCAAACAGCACTTCCATAAAGTGACTACCTGGGTATACCTATTCTATGTATTCCACTTGGGTTTGGTTTACACCTTCTCCCACTGGTGATGATGAACGGCATATGGGGTACAGATGGAAGCCTATAGTTTAAACAGTTGTCAGTTGTTCAAATCCCCATTTGGCCACTGAAACACAGGCCTGCAACTGTTCAGGTAAGTGCATTAGTAATTTAGATTAAAGCTAGCATAGGCACCTGGGTCTCTGTTTTTTCAGTCCCTACATTAGGCTTCCTTCTGTAACCGAGTAAACTTGCAGAAGCCAGACACAGAGAGATGGATGCAGGTCTTCAGGAAGTAAAAGGTCTTTATTCACACACCGATCGGGTCTCACACTGAACTTGTGTTCAACAGGTATGAGCCCTGAGCACATGTTTCAGAAGCATTTTATTAAACAATAACTCCTCCCATTAATAGCTCCACCAAAACATGCACTTAGACCAATTAGTGTATACAACATCCTGGATCTCCTTGTATGGGCAGACCACATGGAACTTACAGACAAAGGAATGTACTATCCACTTCCACACATGCTCAGTATACTGATGACTCGTCCAACTGTTTGTAATCAGATACTAATTAGCATATGCCATGTGGAGATTTCGGCCTACTAAATTTTGACCATGCTGGAATCCCATCACACTTCTAACAAATAGGTCACATTTAGGAGGTTTGTGTGGTGAGCATTTAGGTAAGTTTATACATGCTTGGTGTAAAAGAGTGCTGATAATGCAAGGAGGCATTGATTGTGCAAAATAAAACTTTCCTGGATGTCTGATTGAAGTACACACATGTATATGACAGGTTTTAAAACCTAAAAATAAGTCCACACACACACTTGTTTTTATCAAGGAATGTGGCATTGATTGCTGTTATCTGTGAATTATCGCAAATAAGCAGGCTTTTCCAGAGAGTGGTAGAATTTCTGCATATGAGGTCTCTGGGCCTCAGTATCTGTACATGAACTGGTTGTGGTACAGCTTCGGTATGTTTCCACTATATGCTCTAATGTATGAATTGGTATGCTTGATGTATTAGTGGATATGCTCTATGTATGAGTTTCTGTGAGGACACCGCCTCAGTATATGCATCCATTATATGCTCAATGTATGAGTTACTGTGAGGACACGGCCTTAGTATATGTATCCACTATATGCTCTATGTATGAGTTACAATGAGGATATGGCCTCAGTATAGGTACCCTCTATAGGCTCTATCTATGAGTTACAATGAGGACACAGCCTCAGTATAAGTATCCACTATAGGCTCTATGTATGAGTTACAATGAGGACATGGCCTCAGTATAAGTATCCACTATATGCTCTATGTATGAGTTACTATGAGGACGCTGCCTCAGTTAATGTACCCACTATATGCTCTATGAGTTACTGTGAGGACGCTGCCTCAGTTAATGTACCCACTATATGCTCTATGTATGAGTTACTGTGAGGACACAGCCAAAGTATATGTATCCACTATACGCTCTATGTATGAGTTACTATGCGGACACAGCCAAAGTATATGTATCCACTATACGCTTTATGTATGAGTTGCTGTGAGGACACGGCCTCAGTATAAGTATCCACTATAGTCTCTATGTATGAGTTGATCTGAAGATTCTGGCTCAGTATGTGTGTTCTTTATATACTGTGAAAAAACAGCCTCAGTATATGCCCTCTACATGCTCTATATGTAAGTTAGGGTGTAGACATTGCTTCAGTGTATCTGTTAACTATATGCTTGATGTATTAGTGGAAACACAGTATATGTGAATGATATAAGACACATCCTCTATGAGTCTAGTCTAATACTGGTTTTATGTGTAGGTTATTAGTCACAACCATTAGTATATATGAGTGGTATAATATGTGAATGAAGTCCTGTTAAAACACAGCCTCAATTTATCTCCCTCATATAAAATTAATACGTGTGCAATCATAGTGTCACTCTATAGCAGATGCAGGCTATGTATGATTACTGTTTGAACAGACTCAGTATATTTAACTGATTTATCTGTGCATAAGGTGCTGTTAGAAACATCCACAATGTATGTGATTAATATATTCTGTATGCAGGTATATACACGGCCTTGGTAGATTTAATAATACAAATGATCTAAGGTCTGGGTTTTGCGCTGAAATGTAATACAGCCCATTCTAGCAAAAACAAATGCACTGTTGCTCTGGGTAAGTAACTATTGCCTACTGTGAAATTTCTATTTCAGTTTTTTAAATGAAGTAGATAAGAGAAACATACTGCTTTTGGCTTTGTATTAGATTCCTTCTCCCACAGGTGTTTCATGATAAGCAATTAACACATTTTACCACTTTAGATAGATTGTAGGTGTTACTGTACCTGTCTGAGTGCCTCTCCCAGGAGAGAAGGAGACCTGAATTTCCAAAAGGGAGCATGGTAATGTTCAACAGAATTAACCCCTTAAGGACGGAGCCAAATGTACACATTGTGAACAAAACAAAATGTAAACAAAACCTGGCATTTGCGCTACATGTCTGTCCAACCGTAATTCACCTCTTTCATAGTAAATGCACCCACCCTTATTATATATCATTTTATTCAGGGGAAACAGGGCTTTCATTTAATATCAAATATTTAGCTATGAAACATAATTTAATATGAAAAAAATGGGAGAAAATACGATTTTTTTTTATTTTTTTAGTTCTAAATTGCATTTTAAAGGTCAGTGTCATAATACTGTTTGATTTTACTGCAATAAAATACACATATTTGTATTTAGTAAAGTCTCACGTGTAAGACATTACCCCCTATGTACAGGTTTTATGGCGTTTTGGGAAGTTACAGGGTCAAATATAGCACGTTACATTTGAAATTGAAATTCGCCAGATTGGTTACATTGCCTTTGGGACTGTATAGTAGCCCAGGAATAAAATTTACACCCATAATGGCATACCATTTGCAATAGTAGACAACCCAAGGTATTGCAAATGGGGTATGTCCATACTTTTTTAGTAGCCATTTGGTCACAAACACTTGCCAAAGTTAGCGTTAGTATTTGTTTGTGTGTGAAAAATGCAAAAAACACCAATTTTGGCCAGTGTTTGTGACTAAGTGGCTACTAAAAAAGACTGGACATACCCCGTTTGCAATACCTTGGGTTGTCTACTATTGCAAATGGTATGCCATCATAGGGGTAATTTTCATTCTTGGGCTATCATAGGGTCTCAAAGGCAACGTAACCAATCTGGCAAATTTTAATGTGAAAAAAATGAAACACAAGCCTTATATTTGATGCTGTAACTTTTGAAAACACCATAAAACCTGTACATGAGGGGTACTGTTGTACTCAGGAGACTTCGCTGAACACAAATATTTGTGTTTCAAAACAGTAAAAAGTATCTCCGCAATAATATTGTCCGTGTAATGCTGTTTGTTCGTGAAAAAATGCAAAAAACATAACTTTTACTGGCGATATCATCGTTGTAATACATTTTACTATTTTTAAACACTAATATTTGTGTTCAGCGAAGTCTCCCGAGTAGAACAGTACCCCCCATGTACAGGTTTTATGGTTTCTCGGAAAGTTATAGGGTTAAATATAGTGCTAGCAAATTAAATTCCCTTTACTTTCGGCATGGGTTGTCAGGCAGGTCCCGCAAATTGTAATTAATTAAGATACCTAATTATGTAAAAATATTACATGAATATATATGTAGAATTAGTGTATGTGAATGTGTGTGTGTGTGTATGTATGTGTATATATTTAATTTTTAAAATATTTTTATTTATATATAGATATATAGTGATATATACATATATATTTATGTATATAGATATATATATTATTTCGTTCTACGTGTATTTTGATATATATATATATATATTAATTTCACAAAACAGTTAGAACGAAATAACACACATCTATATATTTTTTAATTATTTATTTTTAATTATTTTTTTAATTAAATTTTTTAACGTATTTACATTTTTTTTTTTATATTATATATAAATATATATATAACAATAATTATATATATATTTAATCAGTATCAGTCTACGTGTAATTTGATATTAATATATATATATATATATAATTATATATATATATTAATAGTAAAATACACCTAGACGGTGTACATGTGTGTATGTATATGTGTATATATATATATACTTAGATCATATATATATATATAATATATATATATGATCTAAGTATATATAATTTTTTTTTTTTACACCATTAACTTATTTTATTTTTATTTTCAGCCAGCAGGGGGACCACCTGTAATTACAGGCAGCCCCCCTGCCGGCAATACAGAAGCCAGCTATCCCCGGCCATGTGATTGTGGGGTCCTCGTTAGGACCCCACTCTCACATGGCCGGGGGGCTTCAAGGAGGACGGAGGTGCCGCGGGGGGCTCCCTGGGAGTCCCCCCAACCGCGATCGCCGGCGTGGGACCGCCGGCGACCGGGTAAGTTAACAAAAACCGGAGGGCGTACAATTACGCCCGGCGGCGTTTAGAGCCGCCTATTAGAGGGCGTAATTGTACGTCCTCCGGTTTTAAGGGGTTAATGTGTGCACACCTATGTATTTATACAGGATTTAAGCTGGTTGCAGGAACACACATTGGGCTATTTATTGATCTCATAAGTAGGTAACTCTGAAGCAATTACCTGACTGTTTTCACTGGTATATTTCCTTTCTTTCTAAAATCTAACAACTGAATTTAAAAGCTGTTCATATTGGCCTTTTCTTTCACCTGGTCATAACTTTAGTATCATTGTAATTTCTGCAAGCTTACACTCTGAAAAACTCACTACTCCTGGTCTGGTTTATACTTTTTATTCAGGTTTAGTTCCATTCTCTGGAATTGGTTTAACATATATTCGTTAGAACTGAGTACATTTCCTTAAATCACAATCTTTATAATTTGGAGAATGTACTGAATTTTATATTCAGTATTCTCTCTTATACCTTGGGGACCTGAAAGTTTGGCAATCCTGTTTAGTATATGTCAGGGGTGGCATGCTTTTGGTTCTTAAGGAGTTAATGATCAAAACATTCTGACAGATTCCCCTGTTGTGAAGGGCAACATTATAATTCCTTTCTGTAATAAAAGGTATTCTTTTAGGCTCATATACTCCAGGTAACGTTGATGCTGTGTATTGCAAGTATTTTAATTGACATTGGAAGATCTTTCCAGTCCCCAGACCATTCTACAAGGTTTACTATCTCAGGTAAAATTCACCTGCTACCAGAGCAATAAAGGAAATCCCTGAACATGTCGTTCCATTTGGACCTTGGTTCCAATATTCATGGGGATACTTTTAGGTGTCCTTTTTATATCTGGAATTTGCAACCAATGTGTGACTTTAAGTGGTTGATTTAGCCTGCATAATATAATGTAATGCAGCTTGTTGAGGACAAACATTTGACTGATATGTTTTACATGGTCTCTGTACCTAGAGTGGTATAAATTATGGTCTCTCCTAACATTGCATGGATGTAATACCTGTGGATTATATGCTTGGATTGGTTTTGATATCCTGCAGATAAAACAAACTGATTATTATCACCATAGGCTCTGCTATAGTACTTCTTCACTTTTTGAAGATAAGGTCAGAGTAAGTATGCGGTTGTTTGTTCTCCTAAGGATAACAGAATATCTCCTACTATTCTGCTTATCATCTGTCTGTTGCCACAATGTATAATGTGCCTTTGGTACCTTATCATCAGTATCCTGCCTATTCCATATCTATTATATTGCACATCAGTCTCTAATAAATTTGACTATACGGTTTAGCATAATCTGTACTATTTACAATATGTTTATATTTGAATGTAGGTACTGACATGGTTGGCCTACTTATAATTTAGCAGTTGCCACAATTTCTACGGTTCATACCGATATTTATTTTTGTCTTCAACTAATCTGTATATGATTCTTCTTGCCTTTGCCTAGGTGTATACCTCTCCTGTGACTGATCATTGCTGTATCAATTCATCCACAGTGTGAGGTATTGTTGTGAGTCTGGTTTTGCAATATATAGTCATTATTGCGCTCTGCCTCTTTCTGA